ACGTGATGATCTGGGCGTACCAGTGTCACTCAACATACTTTTTCAACCTAAGATGACCTTACAACGCCTGGCAACGCTTATTGAAGACCCATCACAAATTTCATTTTTGGAGTCGATCGTTCCACAACTGCTAACTGACTCTGAACTCGAACTGAATGTAACAATTGGCAAACGCAGAACTACAGACATTTCTCCTTCTATGGTCTTTATAACAGGAGCTACAGGATACGTAGGTGCCTTCTTGTTGGCTGAAATGTTAAGAATTTATCGTTCCAATTGCAAATTTACATGCCTTGTGAGATGCAACCCGTTAACAAATCCATTGGATCGAATTCGAGACAATATGCTATTTCTTCATTTATGGAAGGATGATTTTCGAGAACGGATCATTGCGCTGTCAGGCGACCTGGCCGAGAGCCACTTTGGACTGGACAATGAAACATATGAGTCACTTGCTGCTCAGACAGACGTCATCTTTCATTGTGGTGCTACCGTCAATTTTGTACTTCCTTACAGCAAACTCTACGGTCCGAACGTTTATGGTACTAGAGAGGTAATTCGTTTTGCCGCTCACACTTCTACGTGTATACCTGTACAATACATCTCGACGATAAGTGTTCTACCTCCTAACTTTATCAAAGAGACACATATTGACAAGACCTCTCCGGATCATTTAAAGAGCGGCTATGCACAAAGTAAATGGGTTGCAGAGAAACTCATGGCGAAGGCGAGTCATTTCGGTCTACCAGTGGTCATCTATCGTTTAGGATCAATTTGCGGCAGCACTGAAACTGGTGCATGCAATCGAAATGATCTTCACACATTGTTAATTGCTGCAATCATAAAGATAGGTTGTTATCCTGCGTTGGCAGTCAACACCAGTTTGGATGGCTTACCAGTCGATTTCGCTGCCCAAAGTATCGTCTATCTAAGCCGTATTCAACCGGATGTTTATGGAACCATTTATCATGTTGTCAATCCGAACGGCGGAGTATCTTTTAAACACATAATTGAGAACATGCACAAATGCAGTATTCAATTGAAAATTATCTCCCATGACGAATGGCAAGCCAAAATGAAGACGGAAATTATGCAAGGTGGTCCTTTCGAGTTCATAAGAGAGTTCTTGTTAGAAAATCTTTCCATGAAAGGTTACACGCTGTCTTCAGAACAATTTTGTAGTGCTGTTTCTCAATTAGATTTTCCACCCTTGAACAAAGATTATGTCATCAAATGGTTGAATTTTATATTGCATAATATTGTTAACTAATAACATGTGTTTTTTTGTATTCGAATTCTAAAAAAATCAAGAGTTTTAAAACTTTACTTTATCGAAACTGTTTTTCTCTCAAGGCATTGGTCATACTATGATTCACAGAAAAGAAAATGAACGAACCGATTATATAGAAAACTGAAAATGTCTGTCGGCTATCTGTCATTTGCGTGATTTTGGCACTTGACACAACATTCATAAATCGGTTGAATAACGTTGGACAATGGAATGGTTGAAAGATTTTGCTCAAACTGTTGATTAAAAGTGAATTTAGATTCAGTCACATAGCAAATACACTCAGAGAAAACTCGGTGCTATATCAATTCATCGCAAGTCAATTCGTCGCATCTCTCTTTATAAATTTTCCGTATCAGAGCTTTGTCTCTTGAAAAATGATGCATAAATAAAAATGGAATGAGGTATTCAGAGAATTGAAAACAGCAAAATCTTGTAATTTCATCAAACCACAGCGAAAAACGATGTTTTTGTTGGTTTTCCGACGAAATTCTAAATAGGACTTATGCATTTCACCTGTCTTGAACATGTCAGTCATCGAAAAATATCTCTATTAAAATGTTACTAAAGGTATGGGTGTGAGGTGTGCGAGTAAAGACGAGACTAACACGCAATACCCACACCCACACCCAATAATTGATAACGAAAAATAATACTTTTAGTATTACATTAGAAACAATATTATTTCTGGTGATTGCATTTTGACCGCATCTTAGAATAACTGTCAGAGAACAATTATGTCATAAGAAATTACAAAACCGCATTGTCATAAACGATGTTTGTTTTGCTAAATAATCATTGTTATTCGTTTTGAATTTATTAACTAATATTGACTAGAAACCAATTAAATCCAATTCTCAATTACTAACAAAACTACAATCAATTTTCGTATGCTATTAGTCAAAAAATCTGAAAATAACGGCAAAACTTTAGGGAGAACATACGCTTGGAATGTGTGTGATTTGTCTGCAGTGAAGTGTTGATTATAATGTCTCTCTGTTTAAATTGGAAATTAGTCTTTATTAACGAGTGTTTGGATGAATATTGAATCTTTTTATTTTTTTAATAATATCTTTTTTAATGCTTGCTGATTGAGATCTGTTTTTTCAAAAGGTTTATCCGCTATTCTAGAAAACAGAATAGTTTTTATTGATGTAAATTAACGCATTATTGGTCTGAACATGATACAACAAAAAAACTCGAAAATAAAAAATTTCTAAAATAATTGTTTTTATCTAAAATATTCTTTTTAACTGAATATTTTCATTGTTTAGCAACAGTAGCTATCGATATCACCTTTTATCAACAATAATCTATTTGATTGAGACGCAGTTTTTTCTCGTTAAATTTAATATTTCTAAGCTTGTTTAATAATAACCGTCTACAGGGTGGCCCATAAGTAACACAACCGAACTAAAAATTGAATATTTCCCTTACGATTCGAGTAAAGGAACTGATTTCTTTACCAGTGGTAGAGACATGTATAAGCTTTATATCCATAAAGACATGTGTAGGAAGACTCTTTGTTAAGTATCACTATTGACCTCAACAAGAAAAATTTCATTTTTCACAGTTAGAAACAAAGTCACTTTCCCGGAAGAATTTGAGTATCTCTACTACGACTTGCGCTAACGAGCTGATTCTTTTATCAATGATAGAGACACGTCCAAGCTTTATATTCATAAAGAAATGCCTGGAGAGGTCCTTTGTTAAGCATATTGTTTTCCATCCTATCTATGAAAAAGTAAAATTATTTTGTTGAGATCATTAGTGGTACTTTATAAAGACTCTCTCTAATCTTGTTCATATCGATTTAAAGTATGAACATCCTTCTATTATTGGTAAAAAAATCAGCCCGTTTGCTCGAGTCGTATTGGAGATATTTAAATTTTTCTTGGTGTCGTGACTTTTGGACCATATATAGAGTGGCCTAAAGTCAGTTTACCAAAATAAAAATTGAATATGTTTATTACGGCTCGAGCAAACCGGCTAATTTTTTTACTAAAAATAGAGGCATGTTCAAGCTTCATATCCATAAAGACATGCCTAGAGAGATCTTCTGTTAAGTATATTTTTTTTGCCTATCTGTGAAAAAGTAAAATTTTTCTCGTTGAGGTCGATAGTGGTATTTAACAAAGGGTCTTCCTACACATGTCTTTATGGATATAAAGCTTATACATGCCTCTACCACGGTAAAAAAATCAGCTCCTTTGCTCGAGCCGTAAGGAAGATATTCAATTTTTAGTTCAGTTGCGTTACTTATGGGCCACCCTGTATATGAATTTTATAAAAAAAAAAAAA